CAATAGTCACAGCCGCAGCATAACTTGTAAAGCGGTGCCAAGCAAGAGAATGTGCCTGCCGCTTGCCATGACACAGAACATATTTGCATACTCAAAGACCTAAAAACATACATGTCTATATACCGCATTTTACATACCACTTATATATATGTAAACATGCATCTGCGTATGCTACAAATATATATATATATATAGAATACATACATACACACATACATACAAACATACATACATACATACATACATTAAAAAGTGTATATATATATATGTGTATCCATGTTGTTGGATCCAAAACCAAGCTCTCATGACGGCCTGCCTTCTTAGGATTCTCCTTCTGAAACTGGCGCTTCCAGACGGGCAGCCATTGAGATGGAGCTTTTCGCGCTTTCCGCATGTTGCAACACTTGCGAAAAGCAATCAGTAACGAAGCTTGTCTGATAACATGTCGCAAGATGGAGAGCTGTCCCTTTGGCAAACTGCAACACTAAACCATGCGTCATTCATGATCTGAGCCGGCAAACTCATCGACGGCCCAGTGCAGCCAATGCAGCTTTCAAACTCGAAGCAACGACCTTGTGCGCATCAAAAAAGACAGGCCATGGGAAACAAGTGGAAGACACGTGAGCTTACCGGGAGCCAAGTCGAGACATGTGGGAGACAAGTGTGAAATCATGCGGCCAGAGCACTCAGAGCATCCAGAGCTTACTGGGAGACAAGTGGGAGACAAGTGTGAAATCATGCGGCCAGAGCACTCAGAGCATCCAGAGCTTACTGGGAGACAAGTGGGAAACAAAAGGGAGACAAATGGCAGACAAGTGTGAAATCACGCGGCCAGAGCACTAGAGCATCCAGAGCTTACTGGGAGACAAGTGGGAGACAAGTGTGAAATCATGCGGCCAGAGCACTCAGAGCATCCAGAGCTTACTGGGAGACAAGTGGGACAAATGGGAGACAAATGGAAATCACGCGGCCAGAGCACTGAGAGCATCCAGAGCTTACTGGGAGACAAATGGGAGACAAGTATAAAATTACGCGGCCAGCATCCAGAGCTTACTGGGAGACAAGTGGGAGACAAATGGGAGACAAGTATAAAATCATGCGGCCAGCATCCAGAGCTTACTGGGAGACAACTGGGAGACAAGTGGGAGACAAATGGGAGACAAGTATAAAATCACGCGGCCAGAGCACTGAGAGCATCCAGAGCTTACTGGGAGACAAGTGGGAGACAAGTGGGAGACTAATGGGGCACAAGTATAAAATCATGCGGCCAAGCACTCAGAGCATCCAGAGCTTACTGGGAGACAAGTGGGAGACAAGTGTGAAATCATGCGGCCAGAGCACTCAGAGCATCCAGAGCTTACTCGGAGACAAGTGGGAGACAAGTGGGAGACAAATGGGAGACAAGTGTGAAATCATGCGGCCAAGCACTC